CATATATCTCTATATCTATCTATCTATCTATCGCTGAATTAAGTTTCTTTAGGATACAATCCAAGTAGTGGTATGTTGTTGTTGTTGATTTCCATCAAGTTGAAGATGACTCATAGTGATACTATGAACAAAAGGTCTATGGCCTTTCAATAACTATCGCCAATTTTCTAGGTTCATAGAGTTTACAGAGTCATGTGGTTTAGGAATTGGATGCAAATCCTGCTTCCAAACCTATCTAAAAACTGGGAGCTCACCAAACACTGTCCAACATGGGCAGCCACTATGGCGTTTGACCCCCAATGGCACAAGGTTCAGCTTCACAGCAAACCCAGATAATTTTAGTACAGCAAAATGACAGAAGAGTGCTGTACAACTTAGAAGAATGTGCCTCCAAAATTAAATAAGAACAGCAGTAGCAATAGGCCCTCAGACCGAACTGACATTTAAATACAAAGGCCTTCATAAAGTTTCCAGAGGTATGTGGTTTAGAAAGTGGATGCAGCTCTGTTTCCAAACCTGAATCAATCTGTGAGCTCCACTAAACACTGCCCATAATGGGTATCACATTATGGTAGCTTAACATACCTATGTCACAGTTGATCACATCACAGAAACTCGAAGTTGCTTCAGTAGAGCAAAGAGACGACTGCTGTACCACTTAAAAGAATGTTCATTCAAAAATCAATCAACAGTTGGCCCAAGGACCACAGGCCCTTGGGCCCTACCACCTTTTTAAATTCCAGGATGCCCAAATGTTGGTGGACTATGAGCCAGAGACCCGAAGCCGTCTGGCAAGTCCAATCTCCTGACCCCCACTTGGGGCAAAAAAGAAGCCAAAACACCCCTTAACATTCCTTACATGACCCTCAGCAAGGCGTGAAAATCCGTCAACCAGTATAACACTGATTCCCAATAGCCATCACTGGTGTTGTGTTGTTATGTGCGGTTGGGTCGCTTGCGACTTATAGTGACCCTAAGTACAACAGCCCTAAACCCTGCTCTATCCTGTGCCAATCACACTGCCTCTGACACACCTATCCTGATTTCCCCAGTCACTGAATCAATCCACCTTATAGAGGGTCTTTCCTTCCACCCTCCCAAGCATGATGTCCCTCTCCAAGGACCTCTCTTCCTTACAACATGTCCAAAGTATGTCAGACAAAGCTCCAGAATCCTTGTCTCCAAGGACCAGCCTGGTTTAACCATCTCTAGGCTGAATCTGTTTGTTTTCTTGGCAGTCCATTGTACATTCAATACTCTTCTCCAGCACCACAGCTCAAAGGCATCAATTCTCCTTCTATCCTCCCTAATCATTGTCCAACTCTCTGATGCATAACAAGTGATTGCAAAGATCATAACTTGTATCAAACACACCTTAGTCTCCAGAGTGACACCATTGATCTTCAGTACCCTGGAGAGGTCCCTAACAGCAGACTTTCCCATTGCAATACATTTTTTGATTTCCTGGCTACTGGGGCCAAAAGTGTTGACTGTAGAGCCAAGCAGACTAAAGTTGTTAACAATCTCATTCTCTTCACCATCCATCCTGATTTTGCCAATAGGTCCAGTGGTGAGAATCTTTGTCTTCTTGACATTGAGCCTCAATCCATCCTGAAGGCTGCAGTCCTTGACCCTCTGCAGCAAGCATTTCAGGTCCTCCTCAGTTTTAGCAAGCAGGGTTGTGTCATCTGCATAACGCAGATTGTTAATAGATCTTCCATCAATCATGACGCCACACTTCTCCTCATAAAGCCCAACCTCCCGGATAATCTGTCTGCATACAGGTTGAAAAGGTATGGAGATAGGACACATCTCTGGCATACACCTTTCCCAATTTTGAACCATGTGGTGTTTCCTTGCTCTGTTCTGACAACTGCCTCTTGGTCCAAGTATAGGTTTCGCATTAGAATAATCCGGTGTTCTGGGATTCCCATTTTTCTCAGAGTCAGCCACAGTTTATTATGATCCACACAATCAAATGCCTTTGCAAAGCCAATGAAACACAGATAGACATTCTTCTGGTATTCCTTGCTTTCAGCTGAGATCCATCTAACATCAGCTACAATATCCCTAGTGCCATGACCTCTTCTAAACCCAGCCTGGACTTCTAGCAATTCTCTGCTGATGTGCTGTTCCAGTCGTTTTCAGATAATCTTCAGTAGAATCTTGCTTGCATGTGAGATCAATGATATTGTTCTATAGTTTCCACACTCTGTTGGGTCACCGTGCTTTGGGATGGGAACAAATATAGATCTCTTCCAGTCAGTTGGCCAAGTGGTTGGTCTCCAGATTTCTTGGCACATCCAGGGCGTCATCTCTTAGCTGAAATATGTCAATTGGAATACCATCTATTCCTGGGGCCTTATTTTTTTGCTATTTCCTTCAAAGCAGCTTGAACTTCTTCCTTCATCACCATAGGTTCGTCTCATATGTTATTTCATTAAATTCTTCTCTGTCTGCCAGTTCCTTTTGATACAGTGACTCAGTATATTCTTTCCATCTTCTTTTAATACTTCCTGTATCACTTAATATTCTTTCTAAATCAATAGCCATCATAGCTGGGTCAATTGATGTTTTTATTTCCAGTGTTTTAAGACAGCACCAGAACAATTCCCATAGTGATCAAACCACTTTTCATTCCAATTAGCAGTGAATAAGTGTTCCAATTTCTGTACAACCTTGCCAGCATTTGTTCTTTGCTGCCCTGTTGAAATTTGATACGTTTGCTGAGATGAGATGCTATCTCATAATTGTTTTGATTTGCATCTTTATGATAGTAAAAATTTTGAGCATTTCTTCATGTGTCTGTTGGTCATCTTAATTTCTTCATTGGTGAAGTGTCTAATTATATCTTTTACCCGTTCTGAGATTGGGCCGTTAATGTTTTTCTTGAGAATTCTACAAATTATAGATATAAGTTCTTTTTTCTATAGGTCATTCCCAAATAGTTTTCTCCTACCTTTTCTTCCCCTTTAACCTTGTAAGAAATTTTTTTATGTGAATTTGATCTTTATAAGGTTTCATTAACCTATTTTATTTTCTCCTTGCTGTGGATTTTTCATTATGCTTGGAAGTTTGTTCATGCTGTAGGTTAGGGTTTCTAGAATTGTTTCTAGTTTTTTCTCTGATGAATCATATAGGTTTTGATTTACTTCTATTTCTCTGATCCACCTTGACTTGGAGTTTGAGTATGGTAAGGTGGAGTGTCATTTCCCCTCTTAACTGATTTTGTTCCCTTGTAAAAAATAAGTTGAACATAGGGAAATGTGTTGATTTCTGGCTTTTCAATTCTATTCAATTGACCTAGTGCCTGTCACTGTTCTATTATGGTTATGTAGTAGAATCTGAGGTCAGGAGTGCCATGCCTCCTACCTGGATTTTCTTTTTCAGTAGTGCTTTGCTTATTTGGAGTATCTTGACTGAATTGGAAATTTCCTCTTCCACCTCATTGAAGAACAGAATTAGCATTTTTTTATATGTTGGATTTTCAGTCTTTCTTTCCTTTTGATGTGTTTGCTCATTGCTATGAATTGACTACTAGGAACAGTTTTTGGCTGTTTCTCATTGGTTTTGGTAAGTGATGGTTCCATTCTCATTTGTTTCAAGAAAAGTATTTTATTTTTTATTTCTTCTATTACCCACTCATATTCAAGTAGAATGTTGTTCAGATTTCAGGTGCATAATTTGTTCTCTTCTGGCTTGAGGAAACCCTTGATTATGTTTTCATCACTATTTGGGGGTGATATATTGCTTTTGTTTTGTGCAGGGTGTAAGATACTATATTTCTGTTTCATTGCTTTGATAGTTTTCCTTGCCGGGGGCCCTAGCAGGTCCTAGATCTAATGACCTTAGTTGGGAAACTCACACCACTACAGAGGAAGGAAAGGCTACTTGTCCTGTCTGAATATCTTTCTGGACCCTGAGCTTGTGGGAAGACTTGCTTCAGGTGGGGACCTTAAAACTCTAGAAGGGAAAGGGTAGGCAACTCACCCTACCTGTGTTCTTTCCTCTCTGGTCCTGTGGACAAGTTCTCTAAGTGTGGAGAGTACACTGTGAAAAGAAATTTCTCAGCCTCTGATCTTTCCTGTCCGGTCGCCCAGGTGGCTAGAATGTTCACCCAGGCTGGTAAGCCCACCAAAAAGGGAACTAGAGGAGAGCTTGTCTGTATCTGTTCCTATCTGGTATTGCAGTAAAGTTCTCTGTGGCTGTAAAGCCAATGAGAAGGGAATTAGCTCTGCCTCTGTCCTGGGACTGCAGGGAAGATTACCCTGGCTAGGGAGAACACCCCAAAGGGAATTTGAGAACTTGCCCTACTTGTTCTTTCCTCTCTGGACCTGCAGCAAAGTACTCTGGGAATACAGATTTCCCTGGTAAGAGAAGTTGCTCTGCCTCTGTCCCAGGACTCCTGGGAGTTTCACTTTGGCTTGCAGCTCACCTAGAGAAGAGTTCACCTTGTGTATGCTTCTGTTCCTTCCTTTCTGGTCCTGTAGTAAATATCTCTGTGGCTACAGAGCTCTCTGGGAGGGAAGTTGGCTGACTTAATTGATCTTAATGTAAGCCAACAATAAGTGCTTCTTGTACAAAATAATCTTATTGATTTGCATATAATCATATACACCATACTTAATGTATGGAATTTGTATTTTATATAATCATTCATGTATGTTGAGTTTAATTAACATATTTTACATAATTATTCATATATATAATATTTTATATAATTTATTATATTGGTCTATGCCTATTATTATCCCATTCAATATGAAGTTAAATGGCAATTTGTAATCTGAAACCAGAGGTAATTAATGTCTAATTTGTATCCTATACTTGAGGAAACTCTGCTTGGGAATTAATTAATTTTTTTAGTTGGCATATATAGAATAACTTCAAATGTGAAGAATAAGTGAGTGTGTTTATTTTCTTCATTACATATCATCACTTTGCTTACTGATATTTTTCTGATAATATTTTTATTTTCAGTTATTTAAACTCATATTCAGGTGCTAGAGTTCAAAGGCTTATTTTAGAGGTGGCTGAAATGCAAGAGCTAAAGAAACATCTTAAGAAACTTACACAAGTTCCTTCAGATTGCACATATACTGATCGTGCACGTGTGGATTATAAGGTAAGAGAAAAGAAAAGGGGATGAATTTTTTAATATTTTCTGTGTGTCTACCTTTATTCTGTTGCTTAGACTATAAAGTATATTGTTTTTATGTACAATCAAGTCAGAATGAACTCATAGCTAACTCTCAAATAGGTTTGCAAAAATAATAAATAACAGGAGAGGGAATTGCCCATTTCTCTTGTGGAGTAGCTGGTGGATTTGAACCAAGTGATTTTTGGGTACGCAGGTTAAGTTCTTACCATTAGGCTACCAGAGTAAACAACGAAGTTACATAAATTTATCATAATTAAATTAACTGAATAATAAAGTTGTAGACTAAAAATTACTTTTATTAAAAGCAGTTTAAAACTTCATGACAACATCACTAACATTCCTAAATTTTTCCTTAGAAATAATTGTCCTCATCTATTAAAGCCCAAACAATAGCACAATGTGATCTAGAGTAGACGTGTACTCCCTATGGTTTGTTTCCTTTGTATTGTTTTGTTTTATTATTATCATGATAGTTTACAGAGACTTTGGGTATCCATTTATTCACTGTTGCATTTTTATCCCTGTCCACTCCTTCCCCCAATTCGCATTTTTCTTTAAAAAGTAAAAGGAAAATTCTTTCATTGTTATAAAATCCCACCCCTAAGTCTACTCCATACTGCTGCCTTCATTCTGAACTCCTGTCATAACAATAATATCTAACCGTACTAAATACTAAATATCTAACCGTATTAAACAGTTCTCTCCCTAACCTGTTTCAATGCAGTATACATTATTTATCCCCTCTTTCTCAATCTCCCCCCCAAAACCCTATGCCAGTCCTCTGTTATAAAAAATGACATTATGAAGTATTTGTCTTTTTTGTGACTGAGATATTTCAATCAGCATAATGTCCTCTAGGGTCACCCATTTTGTATAATATTTCATGAGTTCTTTGTTTTTAAATGCAGCATAGTATTCTACTGGGTGAATATGCTATAGCTTCTCTATCCATTTGTTTGTTTATAGGATCTTGGGTTGTTTCCAACTCTTTGCTATTGTGAACAAAGCCACGATAAACATGGATGTGCATATCTGCTTGGGTGGCGGTTTTCGTTTCTTTGGGGTATATTCCCAGTAGTGGAATTTCTGGGTAAAATGGTATTTCTATTTGCAACTTTTTTGCGAAAGCATCATACAGCCTTCCATAGTGGTTGCACCATTTTACACTCTCACCAGCAGTGAATAAGGGTTCCAGTTTCTCTGCAACCTTGCCAGTATTTGTTGTTTGCTCTTCTGTTAAATTTTGCTATTCTTACTGGGGTAAGATGATATCTCATGGTTGTTTTGATTTGCATCTCTCTTAGAGCTAGAGATTTTGAACATTTCTTCATGTGTTTGTTTGCTATCTGAATGTCTTCTTTGGTGAAGTGTCTGTTCATATCCAGTGCCCATTTTCCAATTGGGTTGTTTTACCTTTATCATGTTGCGGAGCTCAAGTAGTTTATAAATTCTAGATATAATTCCCTTATCTGACATATTATTATCAAATACTTTTTCCCCATCTGTGGCTTCCCTTTTTACCCAATTGAAGAAGTTTTTGGGTGTACATAGGAATTTGATTCTTAAAGTTTCCATTCATCAATTTTAATCCTCTCCTGGTTGTAGATTTTTCAGGATGTTTGGAAGACTGCTTATGTTGTAGATTAGGACTTCTAGAGTTCTTCCAAGCTTTTCTTTAATGATGTTTATAGTCCTTGGTTTTAGTCTTAGGTCTATGATACACTTTGAGTTTTGGGTTTTTTGTAAGGAGCGAGGTGTGGATCTTGCTTGAGTTTTCTGCAGATTGTTTTCCAATTTTGCCAACACCATTTGTTAAAAAGACTGATTTAATCTCCTTGTTAAAAATCAGTTGACCATATGTAGATGGGCTGATTTTGGGATTCTCAATTCTATTCCGTTGATCTATGTGTCTGTCATTGTAGCAGTACCATGCTATTTTGACCACCACAGCAGTGTAGTAGAATTTGAAATCAGAGTGAGCTGCCTCCTACCTTTTTTTCTCTTTTTAAGGAGTGTTTTGCTTATTTGAGGCCTCTTTCCATTCAGAATGTAATTGGAGATTGCATTTATTATGTCATTGAAGAATGGAATTGTTACTTACATTGGGATTGAATTAAATGTGTAAGTTGCATTTGGTAGTATTGTCATTTTCACAATATTGAGTCTTCCTATAAATGAGTAAGGTATATTCTTCCACTTCTCCAGGTCTCTTTTTGTTTTTTGTAGCAACATGTTGTAATTTTCTTTGAATAGATCATTTGTGCTTCTGGTTAGAATTACCCCCAAGAATTTAATCCTGTGATTAGCTGTTGTGAAGGGTAATGTTTTTCTCAGATCCAGTTCTGTATTCTCTTTGTCACTGTAAAGAAATTCTATTGATTTTTCTATGTTGATCTTGTATTCTTCCACATTGGTGAATTGGTTATCTATATTCAGTAGCTTTCATACCGAGTCTTTAGGGTTTTCTAAGTATACCATCATATCATCTGCATAGGGAGATAATTTTACCCTTTTTGCTAATTTGGATACCTCTGATTTCCTCCTCTTGTCTTACTGCTATCACTAAGACTTCTAATACAATATTGAGTAGGAATAGTGATGGTGGGCATCCTTGGCTGGTTCCTTTTCTCAAAGGAAATGCCTTTAATCTTTTCCATTGAGAATAGTGCTGGCTCTCAGGTTTGCATAGATACTTTTTACTATAATGAAAATCTCCTCTAATCCTATTTTGTTGAATGTTTTAAGCAGGAAAGGGTGTTGGATTTTGTCTAAGGTCCTTTCTGCATCAAATGATAGGATCATGTGGTTCTTGTTTCATTGATTGTTATGTTGAACTGATCTTAACTCAATTCTGACTCCAACATCCCCTCCTGGAGAGTCATTGACTGTGGTAATTGCTTCATGCTGGAATTGGGTGCTATCTTGTTTATAGGGGTTTCTGATTGCTCTGTAGCCATACTTGTGTTGTTGTTGTTGTTGTTGTTATGTGCCGTTGAGTTGCTTGAGACTCATAGTGACCCTGTGTACAACAGCCCTAAACTCTGCTCTGTCATGTGCCAATTTCACTGTCTACAATATTCCCATCCTAATTATCCCAAACACTGAATCAATCCATCTCATAGAGGGCCTTCCCCTCCTGCACTGTCCCTCCACCTTACCAAGCATAATGTCCCTCTCCAAGGACCAGTCCCTCCTTACAAAATGTCCAAAGTATGTCAGAAAAATCCCCATAATCCTTGCCTCCAAGGATCAGCCTGGTTTAACCCTCTCTAGGCTGAATCTGTTTGTTTTCTTAGCAGTCCATGGTACATTCAATACTCTTCTCCAACACCACAGCTCAAAGGCATCAATTCTCCTTCTATCCTCCCTAATCATTGTCCAACTCTTTAACACATAACAAGTGATTGCAAAGACCATGACTGTATCAGATGCACCTTAGTCTTCAGACCGACACCATTGCTCGTCAGTACTTTGGAGAGATCCCTAACTGCAGACTTTCCCCATTGCAATACGCCTTTTAATTTCCTGTCTACTGGTGCCAAGAGTGTTGACTGTGAAGCCAATCAAACTAAAGCTGTGAGCAATCTCAATCTCTTCACCACCATCTTGATGCTGCCAATTGGCCCAGTGGTGAGAATCTTTGTCTTCTTGATACTAAGCCTCAATCCACATTGAAGGCTGCAGTCCTTGACTCTCTGCAAGCAAGCACTTCAGGTTCTCCTCAGTTTCAGCAAGCAGGGTGTGTCATCGGCATAATACAGATTGCTGATAGATCTTCCTCCAATCCTGATGTCACATTTCTTCTCATAGAGCCCAGCATCCTGGATAATCTGCATACAGGTTGAAAAGGTATGGAGACAGGACACATCCCTGGCGTACACCCTTCCCAATTTTGATGTGGTCTTAAATGTTCTCACATTGTGCCAAGCATGTTGAGAAGCATAGGGTTAAGAGTCATGATTTGAATAAGACGATATCTTTGTATAGTCATCTATTTAGTACGGACACTTGTGCCTGAAAGAAAAAAATGTCACCGATAGGCTAAGGAAGCATTGTTTAAAAAGTAACAATAGTCAAATTATTATAACTTGTTTTTGTTTGCTTTTTAAGAAGGTAAGAGTTAACAATCATGAGGCTTAACTCCAAATCTGAGACTAGGATCCTCAATAAGCATGGTTGTCAAGTTTTATAGCAACTAACAGATTTTAAAGTTTCAGCTGGATAACTTTTTAGACATCTTTGATTATAATAGAAACCTTACATCATTAGGAAGATGTATAGCTATACTTTGCATTGTTGCTGTTTCTATGTGCCATTGCCTATTACTCATAGAAACGCTGTGCACAATAGCTCTGAACCTTGTGTTATCCTTACTGTCTCTGACACAACTACCTCTATTACTCCTGTTACTGTGTCAATACATCTCATCCAGGATCTTTCTCTCCTGTGCTGTCCCTCTACCCTACCAAGCATGATATCCTTCTCTAAGGACTTGTCTTCCCTGACAACATGCTGAAAGAATGTCAGATGGAGCTTTAATATCTTTGCCTCACAGGAACAACTTGATTTCAACCTCTCCACGATAGACCTGTTTGTTCTTCAGGAAGTCCATGATATGTTCACTACAGCCATTAGTATTAATTATAAGATTTATTCTTTATTCTGTAGAGGTACAACTAATTCAATTACGTCAGGGGCATAACTTTATGGGAGACTTTTGCTGATACGTAATGTTTACTCTGCAAGAGAATCATTCACTTTAGGGCCTTTTTTGGGTGATCTGAGGTGTGGCTTTTCTTAATGTTTTATACAACTAAGACTAGAACCATGACTCTTTGATGAACCCTTTCTGATATATTTATGTTTGTGTCGTTAGGGACAGTGGTTGTGAACTTCAAAGAGATGTTTCAGATTGGTTTGGAGTCCTAGTGCTGCCTTTTGCATTTTTTTGCAAACATTTAGGC